GCGATTTGATGCGATATCTGGATATGTAAAAGTTGAAAAAGAGGGTCCTGTTCTGATAAGACGCCCACCGTGTCGGTCTCACTAAAGATTTCTCATTCAGATGAACCTGGCATGTATGTATGGAAAAAGATATGGGTAATGATGGAGAGGCTACGGGCAACAAGCAGACGGAACAAGTTAGATGGGACAACAGTGATCGGGGGCGACAATGATCCTTCTTTTACAGTCGCAGGGGTGTGGAGCTTGAATTGCGTGTGAATCCTGAAAAAGATCATGGGAAAATGAAAAGAAGTTGGAGAGAATAGAAAAGATTAGCATGACATTTGATGTATGCATCTCTCTGGCTTTGATCATGACCAGCCGGATGTCCTCTCTCAGAGACAGAAACAGACTGGAACCAGGCAATCCCTCCGCTCAGTGATACCACCCCTGCAATGCTTTCGTTTAGGGCATGGTCCAAGCCTCTTTGAGGTAGTGATAACTGATAACAAGGCCTATTCTGCCCTGCCGACAGCTTCATCACAGTTACCGTACACAAAGCCGACATGGCGCGGTTGACGCAGGAAAGTGCTGTGCTGTAACGGTAATTACGGTACAGGACAGGTTTGCCCTGCTGATCTGGCTGCAAGTGTCATGTATCATCTCTTCGTACATCGTACGTGCCGGAAGGTTGCGATGGTAAACGGGCGTCGGATGTTGGCGGGCCGGAGGAAACGGGAAACGACGAAACGTCAACAACAAGCCGCCTTGGACATCAAATTTGAGATAGGTAATGTATCGCGGTCTTTCATCGCCGATAAGAGGGTCCCAAAAGACCAGGCTGCTTGTAATTTGTCTCGGCCTCGTTTGTCTTACTAGCGAGAACCACTGTGGTTAGGCCAGAGCACGCAAGACACTCAAGTACAATGCTGAGCAAGGCCAAGACGTTTGAGGTCCTGTAACGGACAAGGGATAGTGGGGCGGAGACGCCGCCGAAGTGCTTGAGGCTGGTTTGTTGCATGAGTCGGGACGATTCGTGCTGTGCTATCGAAGCCTGATGGAAGCTTTTTGCCCTGCAGGTTCAACGCTGTGCCGGGCGTCTGTGCTGCGTGGCGTCGTAACGCCGAGAATTGATGATGGTGGTAGATAGATAAATATCCGCAAGTACCTGAGCATCTCCATTTTAAATAAAAAGATGACGATGATTGGAATTGCTTCATTTCAGAAAATCATTAATTGGTATGGCCCTCTAAGAGAAACCTTTGTGTTGGCCACGGCAGGGTCAGCATCCATGAGGTGTGCGCCTGCCAAATGGTGTCATTGTTGAGGACTTCTCCAATTAGGATACGATTCGGAAGGCACAGCCAATTCAGCACGACAAAACCGTAACAGTTCCATTACTTCCATTCACCTTAACTACTACCTGCCCGTACATAACAGGTGTCGTTATCCCTGAGAATCAGTAAATCTATACATACTACCTATCTCTTTCCGACATCACCAGTCAATGGATGTCACGATGCCTCGAGTCAGAGACATTAAAGCCGGTCTATTATCGTGGAACGGGCAAATGTACTGTACGTACCTCATCGAAGAACTGAGGTGAGGCCGACAGCCTCTACGACCCCCACGCCGCAACCCCCAATACGATTCGATACCAAACCAGGACCAACTACTCCTTGGTTCATCCTTCGAGCTGTTCGACCTTGATTCAAGGACAAGAATGAATTCTGCAAACGGCGGGATCACAGACTTGGGAGTCATGCCAGGAATGCATCGAGTTTGGCAATGACTTGCAATCTCGAAACTATCTTGTCTATTCTTCTTGCGGCTCCGCTAATCTCTACGTAGTCCTTTTCTCAGGCCAGGATAAGTACATAGCCTGCCAGGCATGTTGTTGTGGCGCCCGGCCATAGCACGGGATGTTTTCTGTCGTGGTTGAATATTCGCTATCGGGTCGTTGCTTATCACGAAACGAGGCTCTCGGCCAACCATATTTGTCACATTATCCCATCGTGGGAACTGAACTGACGCCTTTGTCGCCATACAAGCTGTCTGATGAAACTTACTTGCTATTCTGGTGATCTTTCGCACGCACGGCAGTAATTGCTACTTACCATATGATTCTCAGCCGTAGCACAATGATTGGCACATGCACTGGGCAAATACGGAACATGCAGTTCTAGAATTGGGGGCACGACACGAGACCACTCCTGCGACACCCTTCTGCCTCTAGTAAGTCATGATACCCAACCGAGATGGACTGAGCATCTGAAAGCTGGAAATAGTCAGGTCTCGATTGGGAGGCCCCAGACTTTGAACGGAACGGCCCCTGTCCCGGAATTTCTCTGAGGTTATTTCATACCAGCACTATTGGGGTAAACATGTCGAATATACGGAGTACGGTGATTCGATCTAGATCACAATAATCACGCCAGGGAAGGCAGAATCCAGAGTCACCTTTAGCCGGACAAACGAGAACAGTCTGAACTATGTATGCATATGGTGAGGGGCCATTCTCTTGACAGTCCTTGCTGACTATCGGTTACTGGGACCGGGAACAAATACGAACTCGCTTTTTACAAGTGCGGTTTCAGACACCATTGACTGTGTCTCTCAGTCAAGCAGCTTGACCTGGCTGCCTGCCTGCATTATGCATTGCACTTTGACAGCATCCATGTCGCATCTGATGAGCTAGCTTCAGCTTGGCTCAGTCAGCTCCATTGAACAAGCGCCCGTCGACGGCCCCTATACCCGTTGATAAAGCACCGAAACGACGGGTCGCCGACAAGAAGATCTAGCTCATTAAGACCACTCATGAGTTCGGTTGTATCTCTTTGGGCTAATCAGTTTGTCCGTGGCGGTGCCACATCAGTTCAGCCTCAGGTACTCAAACTTTATCTCATGAAGGATATCGTTTCCAGATTCCGGCGTCGATATGCACGTTACGGAGATACAACGGCTCTGCATCGGCGTGCCATCAAAGCCGCCTCAGGTAATTACACCTCGGCAGCTCGGGTTACCTCTTGTGTCCTGGCATATCACATAGGGTTTCAACTTTTCAAGGCTCCAAAGACAACACATTTTCGCTAAAGCCTAGCGGAAACATTCGATGGGGTCTTTTGTTGCGGTTTTTATTCTCGAAAATTGGGCCTTCGATTTGGGAGCCCCAAGTACCTTACCGTACCGGACCTGTTACATGGATGATAGCAATCAGCCTTGTAAAGTACGCAAGCTCTGTGATCACCGCGCCAGGCGTAAAAGTTTTCCAGCTCAGCTTTTGGTTGGTTGATTTGCTGCAGACGGGGCCCGGAAATCCAAGACCGATAGACGCCAAACACCCATCAGACACAACACAGATGTACAATTTGTTTCCCGAGCCAATCACCCTACTAACCTAAGTGCTCAAGTAATGATTTCTCACTGTCCAACGAGTCACCGCAAGTTCAAAGATCAAACCGGTAGCCAAAGTAACATCCAGCAAATCTCATCATGACCTCTCATGAGAAGCTCATGACAGCGCAACAAGTTCATGATACATGCTCCATAACCAGTTCCGGCAATAGTCAGCTGAAGCCTCTTGGAATACTGTGACTTCATGATTCTCACGATCTATAGATATCATCGGCTTATATCTACACCTCTCTGCATTGTTCCAATGTTGACCACACGCCGTCAGGCGAGCCAGCCACCGCATGATGGTCTGCCCTGGCTGGCCCTTGTCCATCAGGTTTGGTTCGGCAACGGCCGTCTTAGTGGGCTGAGTAGCCCCTCCCTTTTCCCGATTTGCAAGGATGGTTTTCAATGCTTGTCCCTAGTCCAGCCAGCCACGTCAAGACGTGATAACCAGCTATTATTGCTAGTGATCGATTCAACCCTCTGCGTTTGAGGTTCAAGCTACGTTTCCACAGGACCTGGTCCTTGCTTTGATGCACGGGCGCCGTCGACTCGGTAGATGAGCACCGGGCGTACAATAAGCTCGCATTAGTGTGCGTGCACAAGTGTACAAATAATCGATTGGTGGCTCAGGTTGGAAATTCTTTGAAGATCGTCGACTGAGAACAAGATATCAAGATCTGATAACATGAGATGGCAGTATTTCGCATTGTCATGGTTACGCAGCTGCATGCGCGTCTCTCGACGCTGTCTCTTACGGAACGGACACTCGGATGCTTCAGCACAATACAATCTCTCGTCATTCTCGCAAATCTGACAGCTCTCGCTAACTAACACGAGAGATATCTCAGCCTCCTGCTTATCTAGAAACGTGCAGCAATTGGATGTATGTAATCGTTACGTGCGCTAGTCTAGTGTCTGGAGATCCACTGGTATCTCTCGGAGGGATTAAAAATTCGAACATCTATCCGTAAAATCAGGGTCCTGCAGCCATTGTGGGCCTCAAACACGGCAACTCGTTGTATCACCGAAGAGCCTCCATCGCCATGTGGGCTTGACGGAGACGTCTGATTGATAGGACCGACTCATTACTCCTGCAAGACAGCCCAAAACGGTTTCCCAACAGCTATATGACTCTTTGACTACCTATCCCGGCCGGTGCCCAAAGCAAGTTCCTTAGCTGCCAGGGGCAAATAGTTTGTTGACATTGGATCCTGGGCTAAAAACTTGCACTCATAAACAAGATCCGAGGTGGATTTCCGGTCTCAGTATCCGTATACTTACATCAGATTCAAACTATCGAACCCTGGAATCAACCAATGACTCGAACGACAACAACCACTCCCCCTTGCGTATAGCAGTTATTGGATCTCGCTTTACAGGCTCATCACAAAACAAAGAGGCCAACAAACCCATCAAAAAGCTCTATTCGCCAGCGCCCTTGTAACAAGCCCATCAAGGCTTTTATCGCTCATCAACATGTACCTCCGTATCCGTTTATCATGATGTTGCTCCCGGGGCTTCTGCTCCCTTCGTCTGTGCCGTAAGCTCCGATCCAGGTCGCAGCCACGTCCTCATATGTCCTATTTTCGGAGATTCACATGTCAGCTTGTCTGTCACTTATGTTATGTGTATGCCATGAACAAGCGATCGTTGATCTCAACAGTCCAATCGGACCGGAAGATCAACTCGAAGCTTGGCTTGGTGTCGCTTACCTGACTTGCAGCTCGTCATGATAGCGTTCTCTGTGAAGTCCAGCCAACACACTGGGTGGGTATCAATTGATTTGTTCTGTTTGTCTCACCGTCAGTTTTACCACACCTTGCAACCTGAAGCTATCACATATCGGCCCTCGCATTGAAACTTACAAGTACGGGAGGAAGCATAGGAATTCTGGCCCGCGGCTCCACAGGGTGTGCGATAGCCATTTCCTCGTCTTCGGTATCTAGGTTTGAGTTTGATCGCAACCTTGAGTTGGACGTGGTGGCCGTCTCAGCCCGCTGCAAAGCCGTATAGCGCGATGAGACAGATCCACGGTGTCGTACGGATTGCTATAGTAGAGATACTGTTAGCTATCGAGTCGTGTAGACGACGTGGCGTAGAATAAAGATGCCATAGTGCAATGTCGTGAAGCATCACATCTCCCGCCATTGTCGATGTTGGTGGTGTTAGCACTTACCGCTTTGGGTCGGTGAAGCATGCCGACACTGAAGTCCCACAGACAAAGACGTCCGTCTTCTCCCACGCTGCCGAAACGATAGTTTCGCTCATCGCATCTCCAAGGGTCAAAGGCAACGGCTGATACCCAAGACTGGTGTCCCTGGCATCTGGCTACCAGAGCCGAGTCTGACAGTGACCATATTGATATCAAGTCGTCTTGTCCACCAGTCAATACGTATTGGCCATCTGGGGACCAACAAACGCATGTCAGTCCTCCATAATAGGAATAGAACACATCCAGTAGCCTTTACAGCCCAGTCAGATAAGCTTCTCAACAAGATAAGGTGCCAGGAACTTCAACTTACTCTTCCTTCAAATAGTCAATAATTCTTAGCGTGCCGTCCTCGGACACAACAGCCAAGTGTCGGTTATCAGGCGAGAAGGAGAAGGCGTTGATTCGATGGTTGGATAACTTCCAGGCGGCAACTGGATTGACCTTTTGATTTTTGGAATGCACTGACTTGTTGATTCGAATAGAATTGTGATGAGCTCCGCCATTGCTAGCATCTGACAGCTCACCGCTCGTCCCATTCACGTTTCCATTAATCGCTTCCTCTTCGGGGTTGAACTGGGCGTCTTCTTTTTCCTTGTCATATACGACCAGCGAGCCATCCATATGGGCAGCTAGAAATAGGTTTTCTGATCCTGGAATCCATCGAATTGCCGCAACTGGGGTTCCATTAATTGCGCCCTAAGATATGCTGTCAGCGGATTGCTTGTCGAATACTAGATCCTGAGCACCATCCTACGTTTTTGTTCAGTCGTGTATATCGCTGCGAGATCGGCTCCCACCAGATGACCTCTCCAGTTGAGAAGCCCATTATAACATCCAGATGCGAGACGCTCTTTGTATGGACATTAACATCGTGACATAGACAATGCGCTTTCGTGAAAAGAATCTTGGTCAAATAGTCTTGCTACTCGTGATGTCAGTCAAGATGTCCGAGGATGGCCCCGTTACGCGGCGGCACGAACCTTTGACGACGATGACATGTCAAGCCACTGGAAGGCGCGGTTGATGTTTGCAAAAGCAAAGAGGCCATCATTGGATCGCTCCGTAAGCTTCTTAGACAGGCTTTCGTTGACGATAACGCGAGAGATGAAAGACGAGTTGCTCTTTGTCATGTTGTTCTTGGGCTTTCTCTTCTTGTTCACATCCTTGGTCGGCACCTGGGTGAGCAAAGCATTGCCTTCGCCAAAAGCAGGTGCAGAACCAATGGTAATGGAGGTAGCCTGAGCATCACTTGTCGAACCGGTACGGCCCTCCTCACTCGTCTTGCCACCTTCGGCAGAGTAGCGGCCCTCGTTGGGATGCTCCTGAATACTAGATGGCGCGCCACTCAGGGCGAGGGTGGTCGAAGAGATTCCTCTATACAGAAAGTTTGGAGCCGGACGACTCTCAAGCGCGATGAGAGAGACCGAGGTACCGGCGCTGGCAGGCTGCGGAAGAGTCGACAGCGGGTTGGGGTTCGGGACGGTGGCTTCGGAAGGATGGGGCGGAGGTGTCGCAAGATGTAAGTCTTCTTTCAATGTATACGTGCCTGGGTTTCACTACGTAAGTCGAGATACCGCGAGAGCATACAGCGTGATTGTCTACCTTCTCCAACAAGGAATTGCCATTCGGGACCCGCCGGATTCGATAACGTGTTGTTTGTCTCTATCATGGGAACAGGATGTATACCACCGGCGCCATAAGGCCCCATGGTGGGATATCGTGGCGGGGGAGGTAGCACACTGGAATTTCATGGTGTCAGTCTGTGTCAGATGTAGAGCAGCCGATGCGAAAACGCCGGCGCATGAGAAGATTGTATACAATGAGGGGAGGGAGTGGACGTACAACATGACGGCGGTTTAAAGAATGCTTGTATAATTCCAATGAGCTCTAGAATTGACAGATCGAATAAAGGTATCACGATATTTAGTCGCTACTGGATGGAGGTGGAGGCGAGAGGCGGAGGGGGCTGAATGGCGGAAGGCACAGCGGTCGACGTTCGGAATTGGAAGGTGTTATACGTCACTGGAGAGCGAAGGATTGCCCTGGGATAGCAAGACTCGGTGAGTCCTATGCCTAGAAATCGGTTGACTTGTCGGTACCACAGCAGGTAGAAGAGGTTGACTTGTGAGGCTGGGAGAATATAGCCGAGGACTGGGTGAGGATGAGAACAGAGGATTGGGGTTGGATCAACGGACTCGGAAGCCGCAGGCGCAGCTACAGGCAGACGATAGTGTGGGGTAAACTGGGGAAAACGCTGTACTGCAACGGCCAGGGTTCCAGACTGAAGGGCTACCTACCTAAGTTAATGTAAGATACCTTAGTCTTACTATTGGATGTGACTTAAATATCGGGACATTTAGCCATTGCACAGGCTGGCTGGCGGAATACATACTTCTTCTGTCACTAGTATTTCACTATGCGCGCTTTTCGATGCATCGACTTGAATGTCCCAGGTTTCCGGATTGGAACCAGGGCTTCTGTGGCGCAACGGTTCCCGTTGAGTATCAAGGTCCAGTAACATCAGTGATACTGTCGGCTGGGTCTTCAGAGGTTCTGTACAAACTGTATTAATATCTCCAAACGTTTGCTGGTGCCAGTGTATAAACGGATTCAGATCTGGTGGGAATTGCCATGGTACGAGAGGCTTTAGTCGCGTCACTCTACGGATATTATCCACTGAATTCTTTGATAGGTTGGGTATAGATTGGGATGTTCTGAACAAGACTTGTCATGGACTGGTCCGTGACAAATGTATCCAGTCAATCGCATCTTTATCTAGTCCACCGCCAGTGTTGGACTCACCCTATTACATTGAAAGATGGGATCTGCTCATTTCCTAGATATTCGACCAACATTACTCTACTCGAACCGAGCACATACCTAGCAGGTCGGGCGTCAAGTGACGAGATGGATGAGTTGTACAGGAACCGAGAGTACATAGGCGCCAACTTACAGGCGGTATCAGCCTACCATCGTCTCCCAGGACCTGGAATGTGGGGTTGTTATTCCCTGAAAGCTCAGGCTTGTACGGTGGCGGCGGTTCATGACAACACACTCACTGAAAGCGGGACGCATCTTTAATTGATCGTCCCTCAATCCATCCAATCCTTGCTCATCGCATCACTTTGTTGTCTGCCATCAAACTCCAATTTTAGGTCTGGCACTTGGTTTGAATTACTAGCTGCATATTGGCTGCTGTACCTAATTTATTCCCTTCTCTGCATTGATCTGCTGTGCTGTGCTGCGCTTTGCTCTACTCTGCTCTGCACCGCTCTTTCTGTCTCGTCTTGTTTTGTTTCTCATATAAAAATTAAGACATGGCCTGAGGTGATGGATGATCTTCTCTGCAAGACTCTTTCTTTCGTGGCTCTCTCCAACTTGATTGTCCCTTAAGCATCTCTAAACGATCGCCATATCCTCACAATTTGACCAATTCAACTGCTGCCACCTCTATCTGCTGTTACCGCCGCTACGATTCATTGATTCATTCATTCCCCACGATCGACCTACCGAACCCACGATATCAGCAGACCACCGTTCCAACCCTCTTGGGCATGGAACCTTAATGACGACATACTTTCACCAAAGACTCCGATAATAGATACCTCCATCATGGCCGCCGGTACGAACAACCCCCAACTAACTTGGCCTCCAACTCCACTGCGAGCTCTTCAATCCAACAACAACTTCTTGCTCAAATGACTAACCTTCCTTGTGCAGTGCGCATCTGCGTCTGCGGTGATGAAAGCACCGGCAAATCGAGCCTCATCGCTTCTCTCGTAAAAGATCAATTTGTCAACAACAAAATCCAGCCCGTCCTTCCTCAAATCACTATTCCTCCTAGTATTGGTACGCCCGAGAATGTCTCAACAACGATCGTCGATACCTCAGCTCGCCCCCAAGACCGAACTACTTTGCGCAAAGAGATCCGAAAGTGCAATGTCATCCTTCTCGTCTATGCCGATCATTACAGCTACGAAAGGGTAGCACTGTTCTGGATGCCATACTTCCGATCCCTCGGCGTCAACGTCCCCGTCGTATTATGTGCCAACAAATCCGATCTGGCTGGTCAGGGCACCACACCTCAGGTAGTCGAGGAGGAATTGTTACCTGTGATGGCCGAATTCCGCGAGATCGATTCTTGCATCCGCACCAGCGCTCGAGACCATCGAAACGTAAACGAAGTCTTTTTCCTTTGTCAAAAGGCCGTAACTCATCCGATTGCCCCTCTATTTGACTACAAGGAGGGGCATCTCAAGCCTCTGTGCGTTGATGCTCTGAGGCGCATATTTTATCTTTGCGACAAAGATCAGGACGGGTATCTCAATGAGCAAGAAATGAGAGACTTCCAAGCACGTTGTTTCGATAAACCTCTGACAGCGGACGATTTAGATAATATCAAACTCAGCATCTCGAAATCGTTGCCCACGTCCGAGTTACAAAAAGGCATTGACCTGCCAGGATTCCTGCAATTAAATAAGCTTTATGCTGAGAAGGGTCGCCATGAGACTATCTGGATCATCCTTCGAAAATATCACTATACCGATAGTCTCAGTCTCGAGGACAAGTTTATTCGACCCAAGTTCGATGTTCCAGAGTACTCGTCGGCCGAGTTGAGTCCTGCCGGTTATAGATTCTTTGTTGATCTCTTCCTGCTATTTGACAAGGACAATGATGGTGGTCTCAACGATCAAGAACTCGAGGCTCTATTTGCCCCAGCTCCAGGGCTTCCCAGTTCCTGGACCGACTCATCATTCCCCTCCTCAACTGTAAGGAATGAAGCTGGGCATGTCACTTTACAGGGCTGGCTGGCTCAGTGGAGTATGACAACATTTATCGAGCCCAAGACAACTATTGAATATCTCGCGTATCTGGGGTTTGAGCCTCCGAATCCCAAAGAACCAATCACCGCGGCACTCAAGATAACCAAGCCTCGTAAGAGAAGAAGACGTCCTGGTCGGGTTGAGCGTAACGTGGTCCTCTGCTACGTTCTTGGTGCATCAGGAGCAGGCAAATCCGCTCTCCTCGACTCTTTTCTCAACCGCCCATTTGATGGTCTTTACCATCCGACCATCAAGCCACGCCGCGCTGTCAACAGTGTCGAGCTGCCTGGCGGAAAGCAAGTGTACCTCATTCTGGAAGAGCTTGGAGAGCTGGAGCCTGCAATCCTTGACAACCCGGCCAAATTAGATGCCTGCGACCTTATTTGCTACGCCTATGACTCGTCTGACCCCGACTCGTTCTCGCACATCGTTGATCTGCGGAACAAATATGCGCACCTTGATGAGCTCCCTTCGATTTATACTGCTCTCAAGGCCGATAAAGACAAGACAAACCAACGCTGTGAGCTTCAGCCAGATCAATATACTGCCTCACTCAACATGAGCCTGCCGTTACATGTGAGTGTCACCTGGGGTAGCATCAGTGAGCTTTTTGTAGGTTTTGCAGATGCCGCTACAAATCCTAGTACAGCTTTCCCCCGGAGCAATGAGGAGGGGCCTGACCGGACCAGTTTGTATATTGCATTGGGCGCCACGGCCTGCGCAGGAGTTGCTGCTTTAACGATATGGCGACGAGCAACGAATGCTCTTTAATTGGTATCACAGTTGAGCAGATGTTCACCGGAGCTCGGCAAGTTTTGAGGAGGATTTCGATACTTGGAGAGAGGACAGGCATTGCATAGGGAGGAGTTGAAACTCACCATTCGGAAAGAAACATGATACCCAGCTCCATCGACTACACATTTTCATCACATAGATATATAATCAACAAACATCGTCTTTTCTTATTTTGATCGACTTGCCCTGGTGATGGTGGCGTCGTTTCTCCTGTATATGAGCCAAACTCCTTAACACCAAGCCCATGATACCCCTGCAATGTCTTTCACCGGTACAGGAATGATTAAACCTTGTAGAAGCAGAACCCGACGTAGAAACTAGCAGCTTCCATCTCCTCATCGGATACCAGAAGAGGGCCTCCACCACGCTCTCGTACGCCCATGCGCTCGCTCAGGGGACCAAGCTCGCGGTCATCCTTCTCCGCCTCCCAGATTTCAGGAAAAGTGCGGTGAAACTGCAACTCAAGGTTGTAGTCCTCGGCGAGAGCACGGAAGGCCTCCCAGGGCACGACGTACTCAGGCACCTCCTCCACAGCTTCGTCTAGAAAGAAGTTATATTTCCAGCCAAAGGCAGGTCGAAAGACACCATCATCCGGTGTTTTTCCCGGGAAGCGCACACGGTAAATCGAGTTACCCCATTCAGCAGTGGGCTCCTCCTCGCCCTCTTCCAGCTCGCCATCCTCTGGCTCTGTTTGTTGCGGTGTTGTCGAGCCATCACCGTTCTTTTCTTCGCTTTGCTTGGCTGCACGCTTAGCAGCAGCCTCCTCGTTGAATTTACGGACTCGCTCGCCCAGAACATCAGAATTAGGGATGCAGCCGATGAAACGTCCTCCTTTCTTGAGTGCTCCGGCGACGTTGCGGAGCATGTTGCGCGCGTTCTTTTCCGACTCGAAAGCATAGTGCATAGAGAACATCATGCTGACAACGTCGAAACCTCGGCGGTTCATGGGCGAAGGGTCGAAGCCGACTTGTTGGATAATGTCGAGGTTCTCAATGGACTCGCCGAAACAATCTTTAACGTGGAAGCGAGCATCGAACAAGCGCGGTGGCGGTCGCCGGTGTCCGCCGCGCCCACCTCGCCCGCCACGGCTACCCAGTGTACGGTAGCGATCGCGAGCTTGCTCAATACTCACGTCAGCGGGATCGAGTCCAACATAGAGCTGAATTGGTTGAGGAGCCTGCTGCCATTTGTTAAGATCGCCGCCCTTTCCACATCCCATGTCCAGTACA